GAGAGTATTATATATATAATATATAGAGTTATAACGAATTTAAAGATAAATATCTTCTATATAAATCGTTATATATAAGATAAGGCTAGCTATAATATATAGATAATCGGCGATATAAAGAAACGTATTTTGATATTAATATAGATAGATTTAAGTAAGAATTTAAGAAACTTATAATATATTAAATATAGGTAAAAACGAAGCGAAGAAGATAGATATAAGAATAGCGATTTTGACTAGATTTCCCCATCGAGTATCACTATAAATATTAAATATTATCTCTATCGAGTAGAATAGAGAAATCTCTAGAACTTCGATATTATAAAGGCGTATACGAATTAAGAAAGATAATAGATCTTCGTATTAAGTGTTAGAGTTTGACTATAACTCTTATATTTCTTTATAAGAGTTTATAATACTCGTTTCTTAATTAATTAAATCGTCGTAAAGACTATAAATACTTCGAGTATAACTCTTTTTAGTAGTGTTACTTCGCTTAAAAGATAGAATATAGATTATCTAATATAGGTTCTTTCGAATAGTATATATGAGGGTTTCTATATGATAGAAATATCTAGCGTTTTCTTTATTAGGCTCGGTCGCTTACTCTAAGTAGAAAGTAAAAAAATCTATTAATTCTCTTCGCCGAAGAATATACGAAGAAGTCTTATTATAATATTAGAATTAGTATAGATACGATACTAGTATAGATAAGATAGAACGAGAATAATAAGACTATCGAACTATATATATAGAAAGAAGATATAATATAATAGAGAATGTCTTCGCTAAGGCTCGCTAGCTATAGGGCTAAGGACTAAGTAATATATTAAGAATACGCTCGTAATATTATATATATAATCTTTATAAAAGTATTATTTATATTTACGCTAGCGTAAATTAATAAAAAATATAATATAAATTATATAAGAATTATATATAAGAGTATATATATAATAAAAGTAAAAGAGCGTTTAATATATATTAGCGTAATCTCTTAATTATCTAATATTTCTTTTATTTATAAAAAAAGATAAAAATAGCGATAAGAGAAGCTAATAGTCTTTTTAATTAAGTATATCTTTAAAATAGATATAAATATCTATTAACTATAGCGAAAAGCGTAGAAATAATAATAACTATAAATATTTAATAATTTATAGAGCTATAAAAGCGAAGATTTAATATTATTATTAATATATTAATATATTTCTTATACTATTTATAAAATATTATAAAGTATTTTTCGAGATATTTATTATATATAAAGTTAATCTAAATAATTATAATCTTATTTAACTATTATCTTAATTAATATATATATTATACTATTATAATAATATATAGCTCGCTATTACGATATTATAATAAAAATAAATAAAAATAAAATAATAAATATAAAGAAGAATTAGATACTTATTTATAATAGTATTAATATTAATATTATTACTAAGAAGAATAAAAGTTAAATTAAAAGTAAGGCTTTTATACTTATTAACGCGATTTTTATAATTATAATAATAGAATTATTACGATTATTAAAATAATAATAATAATAATAGTATATAATAATAGTAATAATAGTATATTATAATAGAATAGTAATATATCTATATTCTATTAATTAAAATAATAATATATATAGCGATATTATCGCGATTTAGTATATAAATATATTAATATATTTAAGAAGATCTTAAAGTAAGAAGTTTAAATACGCTATTATAGTATATATTAATTTAAGTTATATCTAAGCTAATAATAAATAATATATAAGAGATTAATAAATCTATAAGTATTTAATTATAAAATATAATAATAATAAGATTTAAAGATTAAATCTTCTAAGAGAGAATATAATTATAAAAATAAAAGTACTTAAAGCGAATTAATAGACTCGCTTATATTATTTATTAGATTATAAATTACGCAATTAAGACGAGTATCTAATATATTTAATAAAGTCTTAAATACTTATAAATCTTCTTTTTTCTTCTTTTTTCTTTAATTATTAATTTATCTAGTAACTAATCTATTTATTCTATTAATTATATATCTAGATCTTATAATTATATAGCTATTACGTAGTTCTATTAAAAGAGACCTTACTATCTTATATTAAAAAAGCTTTTTCAATTTTAAATAATATATATATATATATCTTCTAATAAAAAGACTTAAAAGAGCTAGCGAGCTAATTTAGATACTTTAATTTAAAAGATATAATTAATATATATAAAAGAATAAGATAGAACTAAGCTAGAAAATCTTAAATTTATATATATAGTTAATTATAAATTTAATAGATCTACGCTTTTTAATTAGATATCGCGGGTAAATAAATTAGAGTTCGTAATTATTAAAAAAATAGATATACGTTATTAATATATAGAATAACTTTTTTATTTTCTATTAAAATTTAAAATTTTTATTTTAAATTATAGAATAAAATATAAGCTTTCGAATAAAAAATAATTTTTAAATTTAATCTTATAATTATTAAAGCGTAAGGAATTCAAATATCGCTTATTAAAGTTCGCTTATTAAAGATCGCTCACCTATTTACTCGATAGTTCTAATTAGAAAAATAAAAATAAATTTAATTTATAGATCTTTACTCGTAATCTTATATCTATAATAAACTATATATATATATATTCTTAAATTTTTAAGATTAGCTCTATATTATTTTATTATATATATTAATATATTTCTTTTTATTAATATTATTTTAAAATTTAATAAATAAATAAATAAAATATATTTAATAGCGAATATAAAAATTAATTATATCTTAAGATTTAATAATATTATAAGAAATATATCTTATATAAGTTTATTTAGATATAAGATAGAAAAATTATAAATATAAATATAACATCTTTAAGTAAGAAAGAGAATATATAGAGTAAGAAAAGTTCTAACTAGAATTATGAAGTCACGTAAGATAATACTTGACGGACACATCATAGCCAATTAAACCTTAATGTAGTTCGATATCTTGTGGATTAAATCTGGGACGCGCATCGGAACTTCCCACCTAGTACAACAGATGGGTATGAACTTTCACACTTATACTTTCTTACCTTGATATACTTTCGGCCAATCGACTGTTACCTGGTGCTGGAAAAGTTGGGAGTGACACCGGCTGCATTCTAGAATCATATATATATCTGCCCTGCGGGCTGCAACTCATCTTTACGTCACTGACCTTGCAATACGGGGCGTCGTCTTCAACTAACAAGAGCCGACATGGTCAAGTCAGCCTGAGCCTGTAGCTTCCATCAGCGTTACTAAGATCATACCGTATCTTGAAAATCTTTATAATCTCTTGGAAGTTAAGACATGACAAATAGCAAGTGACAATATCGTCCAAAACGATGATTATAATCACCTCAAATCGAGCGCCTTTTCATCTACACGCAAAATGTACACGTCTATAACTGCAATCAATCTTTACTTCAAGCTACTTTCCATTCTTGAAAAATTAATGTTGTTGGACAGCATTGCGAAATTTCTTTTTACCGTCTGTGCCTTGTCACTGCGCAGTCATTGTTTCCAAGCTTGTTTCATCCCGTGGAGATCAGGCATTCGCTATTCTGAAAAGGTCCTCGCATTATAATACTACAGTCTGTCCTTTTACAATCGAGGTCCGATAAGAAGGCCAGCGGTACTTGATGGCGCAGGAATCATCAAATGAGTGGAGTCTTACCCTGCGCATTTCATCTCAATGCGAGATCCACATCTGCGCACGGTCGCTGAGGTTCCTATGGCAATCCGTCAGAGGCCTGGAGTGAGCCGGTCGATAGGACGATCTGTGGGAAAGCTTCGATAAGGATCATTTAGGTTGCTCATATTGGCTCAATGTAATCCTCACAGTCCTCAGAACTCCTTCCTGACTATCCATTTTTAGAACATCATGTCTTGGGACTGCCTCGTGATTGGACCATTCATTGCAAGTATGTTGCAGATTGTTGATATCTCCTCTTATGTGTTGCGGCTGGGTATTTTCTCTGGACATTCAGCTTATCGGAACACGACGATTTCCTGGAATGACCTGTGTGGGGCACTTTGTTGCGGTTTGTTCCAGATCATTTTCCTTGTTCAGAGTTCCAATCCTCTTCATCTCATTAAGCACCTTTCACCATCTTTTTCTTCCTACCTGGTAGCAAAAGCTGCAGGCTTCTGAAATGCTCTATCGCAGTCTCATCAGCGCCCAAGATCGCAGTAACTGATATCACAAGCGCTCCGGAGACCTGCCATGATGGTACTCATGAATGGCTCCCGCTTTGGGACCCTCATCCTTAATGTTTGTATATCGCTGAACCCCTGGATGGTAGCTTCTGCTTCGACAGTCTCCGTCCAAGTTGCTAGTACTGCCGTTACCCTGGTCTCTTCAACTAGTGGACCTACCAACGCATCAGTCTCTGCCTCTCCAACAGCCACCTCGCTCGACACCACCACCAGCCTAGCTTTGAACGCGACTTCAGGTGCAATAACAGCCTCGAAGTTCATCACGTCACCCTGGGTATTATCATCGCCTGGGCCTGCCAATGCTACCGCTATCGTTTCGACAACTACAACTATGACCCGGTTTGTCTTTGCCAATTCCACGGCAGCATCGTTGACCTCCAGGAACTCCTCATCCACGGCAACGTCGTCGACCTCCAAGTACTCCTCATCCACGGCAACGTCGTCGACCTCCAAGGACTCCTCATCCACGGCAGCGTCGTCGACCTCCAAGGGCCCCTCATCCTCGGTGACTGAGTCTAGCATAGCTTCGTCCTCGAACAGACGCAAAAACCCTACATCCTCCGCGACCGAGTCCAGCATAGCCAAGTCCAAGGACCCCGTACCTTCGGCGACTGAGCCTAGCATAGCCAAATCCAAGGGCCACTTACCTTCGGCGACCAAGCCTAGCATAGCCAAATCCAAGGGCCACTTACCTTCGGCGACCAAGCCTAGCATAGCTACATTTGCACCTGGCGCGCCGCCAGCCAATGATCATATTGCCAAACTCGCTGAGATCATCGCTCCTTCAGTGGTAGGCGGAGCAGGAATTGGAGTGGCACTGAGGCAGTTTCTTGGAGAGCTGGCGAAGACGAAACCTGGCGAGAGTGCTGCCAGCATAGCGCGTTCTCTTAAAAGGGCCCAACGGGTCGAATTTTTGGATAAGCTTTCGAGGCAGCAAAGAGCTTGGGATTTGTTCGTCGAGAGGAGGATTTTGATGGAACAGGGTAGAAAACCTGGCATACTGACCACAGAGCAGGTGAACAGCATCCGCGCCGTTGAAGAGAGTGGGGAGAGTATCTGGAGTAGTGAGGTAGGATCGACTGCTATGTTTTGAAAAGAGAAGTCTGCTAACCAGTCACAGGGCATTCCTTCCCTACCACATCCTTGTACTGGGATTCCGTTTTGTATAGATTGGCCAGGATCGCCTCCCGGATCAGATCCGCCCTCAGGACCTGAGGCACCGTCGGATCCAAATCCGCCACCGGGACAAAATCCTCCGTCACAACCAAATTCGCCATCAGATCCAAACCCGCCATCAGACCCAAACCCGCCGTCAGATCCAAACCCACCGTCAGATCCAATCCCACCATCAGATCCAATACCACCGTCAGATCCAAATCCGCCACCGGGACAAAATCCTCCGTCGAAACCAAATCCGCCTTCAGATCCAAACCCACCATCCGGTCCAAACACGCCTGCCGCACCGGATCCGCCACCAGGACCCGACCCGCCTCCTCCAGCGACCGAAGAATCGATCAGACTTGCTAACGAATTACCACCACTTCCAAAAGCGTTACATCTGCAAGGTCGATTTGACCATTTGGACCTTGTCCGCCTGGTCCCCGGGAGATATCGAACGTTGCCGCTTGACGCCAAAATAGTCTATGTCACCAAATACGGCGAGGATGTTTGGAGCCAGCGACTTCGATACTTCAAGGACGCCGAGGCGGCAGCTGTAGGTCTTCAAAACCAGCCGTTGACGGATTGGAACTTCGATCACAACGGTGATCTTGTCGACTATCGAGGAACGCCGACTAGAGAACTCAGAAAGGGGAAGCTTCCAAAGGGGGTGGATCGAGAGAAATTCCGGTCGGACGTGCGTCGCATGGGAGAGGAAATTGATAGGCTCCAAGATATGGAAGATGTGGAACGAGAACGGGCTTCGAACGCGAACCCGCCGGCCCCACCCCAGGGCCCGCCCCCTGAACCACCGCATTATGTACCAATACCCGCACCCTCACCCTCACCCTCACCCATACCCACACCCACACCCACACCTCCACCTCCACCTCCACCTCCACCAGAGCCTACGCCTTCACCGCCACAGCCTCCGCCCGCACCCCCGGAGACTACGCCTCTACCTCCTGCCGAACACCACCATCATCATCAATATCCTCAACCCCATCACCATCCCCATCGTCCCCAGCTGCCTCACCACAAGACGAAAGACTAGAAATGTATGTTTTGGCATTTGGGCAACTGGCCCCTTGAGGCTTGGCAGTACGGTGATGAGAGGCCTTCAAAGCGGCGGAAGCTGCAAAATTTATGTTACTGTTCAGGAGGCAACGTTTCGGAATTGTGAAGCAGAGTTTGTGAAATGATGCTTTTTGTTCGGGGCTCCCCTTTTCAACATCCTGAGCCATCTTGATTTCAGTCCAGTCTTGACTTTCAGGAACAGAAGAGCAGTTCACTATTGAACGACATTTTTAGTGTCTCGATCTCGACCTCGAGAACGGTGAGATTGGATCGAGCGTGGCCCTCTCAGGCGCGTAATGTGGTTTGGTGGTATTGTTCGGTCGGTTAGTATGCAGCAGCACCGAAACGAATGTCTTGTCAGCAACTCGCATCAATGAATTTGTTTAAGTCCATTGCGATGTGATGCATCTATCGCAGGCACATTGTTCGGCGGGGCGGCAAGCTTTTCCTTAGAGTGCTGCATAACCTCTCAGCGTAGCACAGCAGTGGTGATAGAAAGCGTGTAGATTCAGTGGTGGGGCCATCAGCCATTATGTAGCTGATGGAGAATAAAGCACTACTATCTATAGCTAGCTATATGAAAGGAATAATAATGAAATATATATGGAAGGATGTAGAAGGAATATATATATAGAACATGAAGGAACTAAACACGCTAACACTCCCCCTATCTAATAACATCCAAATACCTCTATTCTAAGGCCGAATTATATATTATTCTAGTTTATTAGCCTAAATCTTTATTCATTAACCCTATTATCTCGATAAAGTTATTAAATTTTATAATAATTAATACTTTGATAAGGCCATCAATCTTTATATCCTTCGTAGATATATATTTATATCTTAGCGTTTAATTAATTATTAATTCGCGTATAAAATGGTAGCTGATGTCGATATGGCGTGATCTCTTGTGGTCTACAGGGTTCTTTGCCAGATCGATGGCTCCCTTGTTGTTATACTGTATTGTAGACGGTCCGTCCAGCTGTTGTCCTAGCTCTAGTAGGATGTATCATATCCATATCATATCCTGAGCAGCATCAGAAGCAGCCATGCATTCTACATCATCACCGTTGTGCGTGTCATAGCTATCTTTCTTAATAGGGCCGTAAGTAAGTAATTTATATTTAGAACAGCTATTCTAATTACCTCAGCTCATAGGCCTGGTAATAGATCTACAGCTATCAACTGGGTATATACCTTCTAAATAAGAATACCATTAATACGCTTATCAATGCTATTCTATTCAGATAAATCGAATATAGTTAACTCTTATCGTATATCTTAAGAGGCTAACTAGTCTTAAATTTTTTCGTTATTATACTTACTATCGTTATTAGAATAAATATACTTAAAGATAATATGAAACTGCGTCTTAATTATAATAATAAAGTTCTATAGTAACTTAAATATCTAGTTCTTAGTTTTTAAGAAGTCTATCTATCGAAAATAAGTCTTTTAATTAATCTTTATAAAGTAATAGTAGTAATCTCCTTTAAAGCGAGATAATATTAATTCATTACTAAAGAGATCTATATAAATACTATTAAAAGTATTTTCTATCTTAATTATTAATTTATAATCTAAAGTCTTCTTCTATTTTCCGTAGATATATAACTTATAAAATTATCTTTTAATATTACCTATAATTTTCATTTCCTCTATTATAGCTAATAATCTAATAATATTATTAAAATTTAGATAATTTAATACTTAATATTATTTAATAACTATTATCTTACGATAATTAGTTTTCTTAATAATCGCGATTATAGTAATCTCTTTAGCTATTATAGATTTAAATAATATAAATCTTAGCTTATAAAGTATATTTATTAATTTTTTCTTAAAAATAATAATATTATTATCGTTATAGATTCTTAGATAATCCCCCTTTTCGATATAAGTAAGATTATTATATTAAAACGTATCTAGAAAGAGTAGATTTATAGATAGATCTTCGATATAGTAGACGTTTATAAGTATAAGTATATATTCTTTATTCTCATCGTCGTTATTCTCGATAAGAGTTTTTAGTAAAGTATTATCCACAGTAGTAGCCTTTAATATTCTTTCGTTAGCAGTCTCAACTAAGATAAGATTTTCGAGAAATATTAATTTCTTAACGAAATAGGCTTCGGAATATATTATATGAAATAAGACTATATTATTAAAATATTAGTCGTTATTATATAATATCGTAATAGCCTTCATATAAGCCGCCTTTACTATTTTTAGTTTTTTAATAGATTCGATAAAGGTAGTAAGCTTACTAGTTTTCTTCTTCTTCTTAAATTTCTTAATATAATTCTTATTCTTTTTAACTTACTTAGCGGAGGTCTAATCGAGATTAAATAGTTAGTAGATTCTATTATAACGTAAATTATAGTCGTTATATTTAGACTTAAGAATAATATTATAATTATTATTATTATTATTATTACGATCTTTACCGTCGTTTCTGTTACGGATTTAGTATGCTTTAGAGGATTCTTGCTGTTCAGACAGGGGTCCACGCTCTTTTAACGCTTTGGTGTAACGGTTTGCGATAAGACACGCTTTCCCGTAATAAATAATAGTAATATCGGTTCGATTCCGGGTGTAACCTAGACAGTCTGAATAGATTACTTAGCATTGGGGTTCGGTGAGGATTTGGTAGAGACTCATAATCCTCGTGCCTTTCCTCGTGCCTTCCCTCGCATCAGGCCGTAAGTAGCTTACGGGGTCACATCTAGGAAGTTCCTAAATACGATATGCGTGTAGGCCAGCGCATGGGGATATGCGCCATTTTTCGAAGTGTGTAATTGTTACGGATTTAGTGTGCTTTAGGGGATTCTTGCTGTTTAGGTAGGGGTCCGCGCTCTTTTGGCGCTTTTGGCGCTACGGTTAGCGATAAGGCACGCTTTCCGTGACAGTTTCTCTTATTCTTATTATTTGTAAATATAACTTTGCTATTAAAGTTATTAATACTAGTTAATTTTTAACGACGTTCTCTATTAAGAAGTTATTTAATAATATAGTCGAAATTCGATTTTAATAGTCTTTTCTTAACATCTTTACCTCGACTATTTAAGACGATTTTTATAAATAATTTATAAGAGAAGAGAAGTTTATAAAGGAAGAATATTATAATCTTTCACGTATATTAATAATCTAACTTAGCGAGTTTTATTTTAATCTTTTTAATTATCTTAATATACTTAGTAATTTCTTTATAGTTAGCTAAGCTTATATAGCTAATAATTCTTTATAATACTTTATGAAAGATATATTCTTTAAATTTATATATATCTTCGAGTACTTTAATTATATTATATATATTATAAATATCTACGATATAGATATAATTATCTAACTTAAGAGATATACGAATATTACCTTCAATTTATAAATTAGCGAACTCTTATTTATTATACTCTTCGTTCCCTTATAACTAAGTTAATATTTTAGTAAGAATTAAGTATATTTTAATTATCTAATAGTAATTATATATTATTTAATATTAGTAATCTTAATTAAATACTCTCTTAAGTATAGAGATATTAACTATCGATAAGAGTATAGCGAATTTAAAGATCTTCTTAAATTATAATTATTTAGGCTTTATTTAATTTATCTTCTAGATTCGTAGATTATATAATTTCTATAACTTCTCTAATATAAGTGTGATAGGCTATTAGCCTTTATCGTCTTATTATTCTAATTTACCTATTATGGCTAGAAGGACGTATATTTTTTTTTAAATTTTTTTAATATAATTGGAATGTTAATATATCACCAGCATTAATTAGAGATTTATAACCTCTCAGCGTAGCATAGTAGTGGTAATAATAGAAAGCGTATAGATTTAGTGGTGAGGTTATCAGCTATTATATAGCTGATGAAGAATAAAGTATTGCTATCTATGGCTAGCTACATGAAAGGAACAATGATGGAATATGCATGGAAGGATGTAGAAGGAACGCATGCATAGAATATGAAGGAACTAGACACGCTGACATAACCGTAGATTTGTCAGTTCCCCTTTAGATATAGTTCGCCCGTCGTGTACTTTCAGCTGGTTGTTATTGCAGCAGGATCAGTATAAGGGCGTCATTACCATCGATCAAGCTCAGAATATCTTCGGCCGATGATGACATCGAGTAAATAGAGACTCCAGATCTTCATACTCTTTGAACTGATTTCTGGGGTGACAGCTGTGCTTGTCGCCAATTTCTGAATCCAACAAGCAAGCCACGCAGGAACCCAGAGCCACTTTGAAGCGTAGGTTGGACTCCATAGTGGCCTCGCACCAGTGGAGTGGAGATGAAGTCTCTCTGGGTCGGAGATGCTGAACGTCATATTGGGGACAAACAACCCGAATTGATGCATTCTTGAGGCAACAGATCATTATGAGATGTTAAAAGACGTTAACAAACATACCAGACACCGAACAACGCCGTCTAGGAAGGCTATTCACCAAAAAGAAAGCTCCAAAAATGTCATGTAACACCTGCGATGGATTTGAGGAAAAGCTGTCAGAAATGGTAGAATGACAAGGGCTCTTTACCATTCTTTACTTCAATATGTTATCATAGGCCACGATCTTGGGGCAAGGTTGGTAAAGTAGAGAATGATGAAGTTTGGACATCAAGACGGCGGAAAGATGGCCCCGAGTGGCTCGTATAGACCTAGCCCTAAGATCGACGCTACGAGTACTCTAGCTTCGGCAATTGAGATGGTTATTTCCGTTGTTTTTCGATGACGTTTGGAAACCCCGCCAATGATTGTAAAAATGACTTCAGATTCCACAAATCCATGATATACAAGTCTTTCCCCACCCTTCTTCGACCGTTAATCTCATTGAAACCCCCGTTCACACTCAGAGCAATTACAGTACCGCACAGATACAAATCCACCATGGAAGCACAACAAGGACACAGCAAGGCCTGCTGCAATGTCCCTCCCGCCGTCTCCAAGGGCTACAAGGAGAAGGGC